GGACCTTTTTGCTGGTTACCTAGCTCATAGACCTACATGTAAGGGGCCTGGGGACCCAGCCTGGCATGTGAAGGGTTTCTGACCCAGTCTGTGAACGGGCTTGAAGAGTCTGTGGGCTCCAGACCCAGCCCTAGTGCAACAATTGGCCCAGTTGATGCAGGATTACCAGCAGGTAAAAGAGCCCGACAACTGGCATGGTCGTGTAGCTAGACAACTGGCATCACGAACAGGATTAACAGTGCTACGACTGGCACTGTGAGCAGGATTCCAGACATTAGCAGTAGCGCCACAACCTCAAAAACACTTGACAAATGTCCCGACACTGGCAAGTGCCTATCTCCAGCCTTGGCCCCTCCTACTCTCCCAGGGACCCTCTTTGTCCGCCTCTCGCTGCTTCTTCAAATCCTTGGCTCCAGCCCTTCCCACCCATGGTCCCTGTTCTTGGCTCTGAAGACACAATCAGACACCTGCTCTGGCTTTCCAGACCTACCAACTCTCTCTGGACCCCTCCACTCTGCTCCCTCCAGCCCTCCGGACCCCTATAGGTCTCCTCGCCTGGAGAGGGGCTCTGACTTCTTCACTCCAAAACCCTAGAAAACTCACTCACCCTCTTTAGGCCACAATTTGCCAGTCTGTGAAATTAGAAGATTAAAGCAGATGCCTGCTGAGTTCGCTTCAGGTCCATGAGCCTCTTGGGCCCTCATGCAATAGTCGTTGGCATATGTAAAGCATTAAATCAGAAAGAGAAAAATGAGAACTTCTCTCACGGGAAGTGGAGATAGGAAACTCACCTCTGTAGCGTAGCAAAAACCTACTTCATTTCAATGACAATAGTTACAGACCTGACTGCTGTTCCCTTCATGTGACAGAAGAGCCATCTGCCCATTTTGGTCCATTCTGCTCTAATCTCTATTGCCTGTCCTTATTCTTTTTATGGATTTGTCACTGCCCTCCTATCTATGGAATGGAGTGACAGTTTGATAAGGAAAGTGGGTGGCAGTTTAAATGTTAGTCATGCTTGAGTTTCCTTAAAATGAAATAAAAAATTAGAAATTAATTTTCTGTTACTAATGTGATTTCAAGTATGCTGTATTAAGTTAGCAGCTGCAATACAGAAATGGCAAAATAAATATAAATTCGGGTATTAATGAATGTGTAATTCATTTAAAAGCCATTACACTAGCTGACTGTGAAATGTCAAAATAATTATGTCTTCAAACATGGCTGAATTCAATATGCCAGATAAGATTTCTAAACCAATAAGATGTTTGATCTGAGTTTTACCTGACATGCTTCCATACACTGAAATTATGTATTGACCATCCCAATGTGCACTTAGATACATAACGTTTTACATTCGACAATATCGCCCATGTTCATAACACCTTCTAATTGGAAATAAAAATATTCTTTAAAATAATAACAACCCTACACAAAACTCCCATGTGACACTTGGAGTTTCATTTACATCAAGGATTTCTCACTTCCTCCCTCAGTCCCTCCCTTGCTGTTGTTTTATGCTTCTTAGCCCAAAAGATTAATCAATTCTTGGGTTCAAAGAGACATTTGTATCACAAAAAAGAGGTGTGTGAGCAGATGAGAACCAATCCTGTGTTAGTCCCTAAATTACCCATTTTCACTGATAAAACAGCTCTGTGTAAGCTGAGCAGGAGTTTCCCAGTGGCGTGCAGGGAGACCCATCTTAAACTTGCCCTGGAGCCTGAGGAGGAGAGCCAGTGTGTGCTGGGCACCTGCCACCAGCAGTGCCCCGCAGAGCTGACTTGTGTTCACTGCATTTTATTTAATCCTCTCAACTGTGCTTTGAAATAAGTGTCACCCCATTCTTTGTCGGAGGCTCACAGAGACTCAGCAGCCTGCCCTGGGTCAATCAGCTCATGCCAGGCGTTGCACAGGGCCTGTCTGATTGCAAAGTGCCTGCTCCCTCCATTACACCACAGGTTATGACATCGCTTGCTACAGGAGTCAGGTGTGTCTCTATGCCTGAAGACCTGGAGACCATAAGGCCTTCTTTCCCAAGACACAATGGTACATAACGATAAGTGGCCCATCCCTTTCCGGGGGAGGCAGCCCTGCAGACATGAGCCAGCACATGGGCCTGAACCCCATCAGCGGTGGTGCAGATTCACCCACACAGTGAAACATGCCCAGACTGCTGCCAGCACTCACTCACGGATCCGTCAGTCCTTCTACATGTACTGACCGAATGCTACAACATGATCTTTCCTAGACCCTGTGGGACACCACAGTGAACACGGCAGACACATCTGCTCATCACTCAGTTTCCCCTGGCATGTCCCCACCCAGTGATGCATCCCCCAAGGCCTCCCCTTGTCCTCCACCTCTCACTCCCACCCACATCACCCTGTCTTAACTTCTTCCCAGCACTTTAGTAGCAGAATTTATCTTATTTGTCTGAGTTTGCTCAGACAAACATACTGGTTTCTGCCTAGGCTCACTTTTCCTCATGCAGGTTCTGGCTCCCAGCCACAGCAGCCCAACCCACCTTATAATCCACCCTGGGGGTGTAGACCCTTCCCCTCTGATGGTGGGCTTTGGGCATTCATCCACTGTGCCCTTCCCTGGGTAAGCCCCACTCTTCTCTCCACAATGCCCTGCCCAGCCCACACAGTTTGCTCAATAGTACACAAAAGCCCAGGATGCACAGATGGCCCATCCGCTGTCTCTCAGGGCTCAGCTTTCCCACATAAACCCACGGCATGATTAGGAATCCCAATGGACCGACACATAAGCATATGAGGCCTCCTGGCATTCATTCATTCATTCAACAAACATTGATTAGCATCTCCTATGTTCTGATCCCCATATGCTGGGTTTATAACAATCAATAGATAAGCACACTCCTCACAATGGTGAAGAGACACACGTTCAACATCGGAACAGCATGTGGTGGAAGGGGCCATACAGGGAGGCTGGGCTGTCACAGCTGATGGCAGTGGGTGCTGGTGAGATGAATCTGAGCCCAGAAGAGGAGGAACTGGGAGAAAAATGAGAAAGCAAGGGTGGACCTGATCCAACCAGGAGAGGAGCAGAGGTCCACTGAGTAGGCATTAACCATGTATCCCTGCATGGAGCTCCGCCACAGCCAGCCCTGGACTCCCACCCCTAGGGTCATCTGATGCCACATGCTTACTCTTCTACTGTTCTCTGATTTATTATTAGATTATTATTATTATTATTTAGATTACTATTAGATTATTATTATTCTTAGATTAGGAGTTATTTCCTCAGGATGCTTTTCTTGACCAACCCAGGCCAAGAAGGCTGTGCTTTGCTCTAAAAGAAACTTAGGGGCAATCTCTCCCTGACAGCCATGCTCTGAAAATGGGCATGGGGCAATTCTGGAGCACGTCTCACACAAGCAGCCCACCTGCAAAGATGACGAGCACCTGCAAAACCATCATCTCCACTTTCTGCAGCGTCTCAATGGCCTCCAAGGGCTTCATAGGCTGCTGGAAAACTTGACACATTTCAACAACACTTAGGAAAAAAAATAGACAATGGCATTAAAGGGTAAAAATTGGCAACCCAAGTGCATCTCTACTGTGTAGAAGGCCAGGTCATCACACACACGTAAGAATCATCCTCCCTGCTCAACCATAGTTACTTCACAGGAACACCAGAAAAACACATGCTGACACCATCTGTACCTCTAGAAAACTTTAGGTCTCCTACTGTAGTTCAAGGCATTGATTTTGTTGCCAATAAACCTGATACTTGCTTTCTCTTCCTGTCTTGTCCATTCTCTTGAAATGCAAAGGTAAATTTTTTTTTTTTTTTTTTTTTTTTTTTTTTTTTTTTTTT